TAACTGCTACTCTGAACGCATCATTTAAACCATGAGGCCTGGACTGTTTAATACGGATTCTCATTTCTGAGTTCGCAAAGCCTCAATAAAATATTGTTTTTCAAGTGTATCTCGAACATCCTCTGGTACCGTTGGATAAGCTTGATTTATTAATCGTCTTATTGATTGTCCTAACTCTGGCAGGCTCTCTGATGCTTTTTGTATCCTCTCTGTAAGCTGTACTCGATAAAGCTCTGTTTGATTTGGTGGAGCAAACCTTTGCTCCAGAGCATTTACCAACGCTTTATAATTTTGTTGTTTATCAATCGGTAAATCCTCAAAAAGGCCTTGAGCTTGCCCTCTTAAAGCGACTGTTAAATACAATCCTTTATCCTGTTCAGACCAATTATTAATACTTGAGCAAGCCTCAAAATGGGACTTAAAATCTAACCATGATGAGGTACCTTCATATGTTGCAGGTTTAACTCGCACTGATGTAGATTTGTTTTGTCTCAAGTTTTTATTATCTGTCTTCATAATGGGTTCATTATTTCTCTTAGTATCTGTAGAGCGTTTTGATCTTACAGTTACCCCTGATGGTAACTTTGGATACAATCTGTCCTCAGTTGGTTCCTTTAAGGATTCTAATTGCTCCAATTGCTCTTTCAATTTCCTTATATCACAATCTATTAGTTCAGATTTTGTCGATGGTCGACCAGTAGCATACCCGGACTCCATAAAATCATAAGATAAGCGATGCAAATGTAGTCTAGGTGTAGCCTGACTGGGATTTTCTGTTACGTTCATTTTGCTCATGAACTCATCCATTTCATCTTGAAATAGTTTTGCCATTATGACTTCTCAAGAAATAACAACATCAGTATTTTAAACATTTTATTAACTTACATATAATTGAGCGTATAATTGATTTCATAAAGCTCTTTTGACTCCTTACTAGCTTTTCCGAATCGTATTAATTATCTCAGATTTAATAAGGTTTCTCAGATTCCACCGCTGCCACCAATTTATGTAACGTACCGGGGGTCCATACTCGAGTTGATTCTCGAGATCCGAGACTTAATGTATAGTTTCTTTTGTTTACAATGCCTATTCAACTCTCTCGGCTCATTAAAGCTCCTCCGGCTCAAATAAATATTCAGCCCAACTGGCTTACTGATTCTACAGGTCAAATAAATAGCAAGTTCCACTTGCTCACTAGCTCTGTAGCTCTTAGCTCAACAGACTCATTAGCGTTGTAGCTCCACTGGCTCACAATATTTCTATCCCAAATAGTTAGCTCAACAGGCTCCCAATATTGTTGCTCTTTCTGCTATATCGTTATCTTAATAAAAGAAGCTCTCTTAGCTCTATAGCTCTTCTGCTTTTCTCGATGCAGCTCACTAACAGCTTAAGACTATTCTTCTGCTAAGTTTCAGTTATTGGAAAGACTTGAGCAGTCAATTAAATGGAACAATAAGCAGGTATTTATCTTATCACTGATACGTGTGATCTGATCGTAATACCGACCCTAACTGACTGCTGACGGCTGTTTATATGCCCCTGGATGATTGGAATATACCACTATTGGACAATACCATTACCTTGTATTGCCTAGTAACAAGGGTGGTTCAACCCTGGACGAGTTCACCTTTATTGGACTGTGCCATATAGAGCATATCATAGTAACAAGGGATGTCAAGTAATCAAACGATAATATCTTATCTCAAGGAAGATATTATGGTACCCGATGACCATAAACATACCAATTATATTGTAATTGCATCACACGCCGAGCATTCTTCATACAATTTCACCCTTTTGCCAGTTTATAAAATAGTCAGAGATATGCATAACCACTTGACTTGGAAAGTAGAATATAGTCCAAAATAATGCAAGTATTCAAATGATTAACCTCACTGTAACTTTAATAAAATGTAACTCATTAATACCATGAAGTTTAAGGTAAGTATTAAGTCAGATAAGGAAATGTTAATTGTACCTTTTAATTCCAATGTTTCTCTGTTTTGAGTCCAAATACGAAAGGGGACAGACACTAATGACTTCGCCCTTTATAATGCATAGTCGTCCAAAACACATTCGTCACAATAGACTTTCAATTTCCGTGTCGTTTCATGTTACTAACTTTCGATTCGTTATCAACCCTCTCATTGCTCACTGATGTTTTGCGTGTTTTCTATCGCCTATCGCCATCGTGTGGGAAGCATTTATTTAAGAAAAGGAAAACAATGTTGAACAATTTATATTCAAACTATGTTTCCGAAACCTCATTTTGAGCGCAGCATGTCTGATAAAATACTCATACATACAAATTGAATATTTAGTTGTTATAGAATACTAAGGAATATTGTTGTTATAATTTTTATTGTGGCTTTCAAATTCTAAACCGTAATATTATAGTAAATCATTTACTGAAAACCGAGAAATTTTCGCGTCGTCTTTATTTCGCGATTTATTAACACAATATAATTTCGCGCTGTTTTGAATTCGCGATATCCCAGTGCCCTTTATAAATTAAATATTATCATAAATGCTTTCTTTTATTTCTTTCTCACTGATTTATATGTTTACTGAAAACTGGAAGTATATTGATTGCTCTCGGACAAAAAGGCTGGTGTCAGTATATTTGAAATCTATTAGTTATAGCCGTCTATGAGTTTGCATTAAACATTGAGGATTAATGCGCTCCAAAGTATACTTATTTAAGATTTCCAGAAAACAAGTTATTTTCAGTAGTATTTGATTTTTCGAAAGGCATTTTTTTCTTATGGGTTGACAATTGGCATGTAGAAAGGTGATACATGTACAATGCAGGATATACCTGGTTTCTATGAAGTTAAATGTAAGGTAAAATATTAAGAAAGCTGTGAAAATTGCAAAATTTTGTTGAACAGATAGTGATTTTGAATTGGTGGTCTTATACCTTGTATCAGCTTTTAGATAATCAGCAACATATTTTTCTTGTTTTATTTTTCATTAAATTATTTAGCTACTAGTATATGCTGTTCGTAAGTTTACAGTTGCAGGACGTTTTGTGTTGAATATAGAATGTATCTAAGGCCGTGTTCACACCAAACGCCATGTACAGTAATCATGTTTACAATTGGTTTAATGTAATGTACACTGGTTTCACCTTAAGATTGTTCACATCTATACAATTGGTTTAATAACCTGTACATAAGATTTGTTCACACTTTTAAACTATATTTCATTTAAATGCTCATTACAGTTGAAAGCAAATTTCTGGACAACTTTTCTAGAATTTAGGAAACGACCATTTCACTTCAAAAAAAGGGGAGGGGGTCGCCTAAAAAGATTTATTCTGATCTTCAATTTGATAAAAAAAAAATCTGGTCTGATTTTCCCCCATACCTTATAGAGTGCAAACTATTTGGGAAAAAAATGATTGATAGCGACGAAAACCTTAATAAAACGTTCGCGCGAAAAAAAAAAATCTGACTCAGAAAAAAAATACTACCATGCAAATTCTTCTTAGCAGCAACGGCTTTGGCTTTAAAATGACAGTTCGTACATTGCAAATTAATGCTATTATCTTTAAGTGCGGATCTGAGATATATATACTAGCCAAACAATACAGTTAACCGCACACTCATTTTAGTAATGCATTTATAAGTGAATCGTTGATTGAGTAAAGACCAGTGGCAAATATTTCTGTGTACGTCCATTCTGGAAGACATTTTCAAATGAATTATGTCCAAGTTTTGCAATAATAATGCTTCGAGTCTTGGTAAGAGGTTTAGAAAGCTACCTAAAGTTTTTTTTCAAACAAAGCAATATATTAAGTTTAGACAAATTATTCTGTTAACAAATTTATTAAAAATTGTTATAACTATCAATTTCATTCAAAAATCGTTTCTTCCTTAAATATACATTTTAAAATTCATGTTCAGCATACCAAGTTTTGAGTACACTTAACCCACACAAGGCCTACATTGAGTATCGACTGCATGTAGATATAACATGATTTAAATTACATGTAAATATTGAGTTTTAACCTTGGGAACGTAATTGTGTTTAGTTTGCGTGTGAATTACACTAACACAACACGGAATTCAGGTCAATGTGAACACGGCTTTAGTGAAAAATTGAAACATAGCTGACAGAGTTATTTCTTTGCATTATTGAAACTCTCTACAAATATTTTTATTTACTGCGTTGATCAAATATGTCCATACACAGATACAGCCTTAATCTGTTCCATTCATTTAGTGCATTGATTTCTTTGCATATTTGAATATGTGGATTTCTAAATATTTTTTCTGAACTTCTAAAAGATATACAGTTTTATTTGTTTTCGGTTGTCTTTTTCATCATTGTAACAATATCTATAATTAATAGTATTACTTTCAAGAATGACTGGAGAATAGAAATATTGTCACCATTGGTTTCTACCGACCGGCAGTAAAACACTTGAAAAAGTCGGGCATTCATTTTTTTGTCCGGGATGTATAAATACTTAGACACGTCCAATCAGACTTGGAAGCTTTAATTCACCTCCTCGTATAGAGAAGGTTTCACAATCTCTCCACGTTAACACATTTGCAATAACTCTTTGAGAGGTTCGTATGTGTCCTTTTGCACGGCTAAATGTCTTTCACTATCCAATATGATTATCCTCATTTTCGGTAATACTACATATGATATAAAAACAAGGATTTGTTGTATGATTGCCAATGAGAAAACTAATGTATAGTCCGTTACCCAGGTCAACAATCTATTACAGGACCTACCTATAATTATATTTGGTGTTAAATTTATCTCGTCCTAAACATGCATGAGACATTTGTCACCCTTTGTTAGGCTAACAACAATCAGTCAATACATCAACTACTTTCCTCGATATTCTCATTAGATATTTTTACGAACTTTTGGTACTTTTTTGGTAATTTACCATTCAATCATGGTATTGTAAAAACTTAGACTGGCAATACAAAAAATGGTCAAAAAGAGCAATACGTTAAATAATTGTTGTTTTGTTGTAGAGTATGTGACACAAATTGGAATAAACTCGATCGAAACCGTTGATGAATTGGAAATTACAAATCCTACTCCAACTAAAGACATCAATAATGGTTTGTATTTGATAACGTTGATAATTTTTTGCGATTCATGATGTGTATTCATCACTTATCAGCATGTTCAGTTTTTTAAGTATCTTAATAGGTATTCTCGTTGTTTGAACAACACATTAATAATTAAAATGAAAAAAATAATCAAACGTTTGACATTTGCAACCTACAATAATAATGTTGCATAATAAAATATTAATAAGGGGACTTGGTCAATTTTTCAAAGGAAACGCAAACAACAACTATGACAACAATCAAGAAGTCACCAAAGTGAACTTCATATTCATACTGCAATGTTTTATGCTTTGTAAATAAAGGCAAAAGTAGACAAGGTAATTTTAAACGATATATTTTTTCTTCATTTATGAAATAACCATCTTAAGTTATACTTGTATTGTCGATACCTTCTTGTCATCATAGTCTTGCTTTATAAAAACCTACCTATTTTGTTCTGCTTGTGAAGCCGTATTGCCGTATGAAACTTGGTATACCTATATTATACTTTTCAATATTAACATTGATCATGTTATGCTTTCAGGGCCTTTAGACAAGGAAATAGTTCTATATTCAGTTGTTATTGCCTGTTTCTTAGTAATATTAGGACTGTCTTATTTGGTTGTTAAATACAGACAGAAGACTAAGATAAAGTTAGATATTTCTAATGCCATGCAAAACATACATTCAAATAGAAGACATTCGTTGATCAATTCCAACCTTAGCATATACGACGAAATTGACGAAAATTTTATCGTAGAAAATTTAAATATAAATATGGTGCATAATAATGATATCATTATTGATGACGCGATACAAATAAATACTGACAACACTAGTTACCTGAATCCTGTTCATTCAACAGACGACAGCAGCAGCGCGCCTGTATCTGTAAATAATAGCTATTTATCAATTAAAGAATCGGACCAATGTACGCATTCAGATGAGTCTAACAGAGACGATGACACAACTAGTTATCTTCATCCTTATCATACAGTTGATAAAGATTGGAAAGACAAATCGTACCAGTATGATGTAACACATGTCTTGGACAAAGACAGTGACGATTCATCTGATTCTAATGCGCAAATGATAAACGATGGATACTTACATCCATATCAAACTCTGAAAGAAGGATGGAAACAATCGTCACACAGTTATGAAGCTCCCGTGACGGTTCATCAATGTCAGAAAAGTTTAATGATACCTTTCCTTTTCAAGGAAACCAAAGAAATTGACAAAAATGACGAAGACGAGCGTCATACGATGAAGGAACAAAATATTTATCCTTTTCGGTCATTTAAAAAAGTCAAGACTGAGATGCCTGAAAAATGTCAAACAATTTCAATGGAAAACAGTTCTGACAAAACAAAACTGAAATACCCAATACACAATGACAATATTGTGGGTATTATGACTTCAAGCAAACAAGAAATAACTGTTGCGTGTGATTTTACCGACGCTAACTCTATTTCACCGAATAAGAAAGTGAAAGATATTTCAAAGAGTACAGATAATAATCTTAAGATACCAAAACATTTGACAAATATAAGCACTTCATTGGAGAAAATTGAAACTAGTACTCCTGTTTCAATTCAAAGCGAACGAAACACAAATGTTCATGATTATACAGATGCCAAATCGCAATAAAATGTTGATGATGCGATTTATTTTGTTCTTTCAGTAATTATAGTCTATCATGCTATGATAGGTTGATTTTTTTATTGTTTAAATCTGCAATCAATTTTAAGTTTTCGCCTTTAAATTAAAATTTGTTAGTTTATACTTTAACAAAAATATATCCCAGAAATTTTATCACGTTGATCATGCTATTTTTATAGTAAACCATTATAGGTCTAAGGACAGCCTTGGCTCAATTCAAGCAGCAAACTATAAAGGGTCCCAAAAATAACTAGTGTAAAACCATTCAAACAGGCAAGTCAACGGTCTAATCTATAAAAAAAATTACGAAAAACGAGAAACACTTATGAACCACATTAACAAACGACAACCACTGAATATCAGGTTCCTGACTTAGGACAGGTGCAAACAAATGCAACGGATTAAAACCTTTTTAAAAATATACCAACCATAATCCTTATTTGAAATAATAGTGTAACATCCCAACATAGAAAGACACACGTTAAAATATCAATTGAACGTACACTGAACGAATAAATTTGATCTATGACATCATGTAAATACAAAATCAATAGAATAAGGGGTGAGAATCCTGAGATGTTAACCAATATCATAAAGACATCATAACTTTGGACAAAATGCCGTTCACAATTAAATACAAATAACAGTGTTGTAAGGTATAGAGTCAAGGAGTAAGGAAATGTTTATGATAAAATAGATCATCTTGTTGTTCATAGTACGATAACAGAAGTGAAAATTTAAGTCATACTAAACACTTATCAAAGCTGGTATATATAACAAATAGAGAGACGAGATATAACACTAAATAAATAAACATTAGATAACAAAAATGCATTACAAATTGTATCAACAGGTTTAATTAAACGAACGTACGATTTGAGAGTACTTGCAGTTGTGAAAGCTAGTTAAAAATCCGATGTTCGGCACAAAAATAAATAAAATACAAATATGAAAAAGAGATATAGCTACTAAAAAACAGTATCCTAACACACAACATGTATATATACAATGAAGTAGAATGAATATATTGGGTTTTATGCGGTGTGTAACCATCTTTGATCTCGGACAGTTGTGTAACAGGACACATAAAAACAAACTGCAGAAATAAGTTTGAAATAGCTTGACGCATTATGAGCCACACAAAAAATAACTTGAGGACAAAAGACGTAAAATATTATTCTTGGAGTATCTGCAGTTTGTTAAGCTATTGCAAAACCTATGATTTATAAATAAATAATTTTCTCCCAGACCTAATTATTTATGAATTTAAACCCAATGACTTTAGTGTACAGACGTATTAAACACTCTATGAAAAAACAAGATTTATGGAATGCAAAAAAAAAGGACATACTATCGACGGCATGTAAAAACACACCTAAGGAATATAATTGTTTAGGTTTGATTTAATTTATTTTAAAAAATCAATGCAAGTCAAAATTTAAGTACCGATCAAACAATATTGAAAGAACGTCTTGGATTTCCTGTTTTAAATAAAACATCTACAGGTACAACTTGAAAATAAAAAAAAAATGTATCGATGGAGGTATTTATTGAAAGGAATTAAAGAGAGGCACAAGATACCAAATGGATATTGAACCTCATAAGTTGATGTAAAATTGATAACAACATGGAAAGAACTAATAAACACCCGAAAGATGAACACCAGTATACAAAACACAGCATCAAAATAAGGAGATGTGGTATGATTTCCAATGAGACAACTATTCACCAAAGTTCAACTGATGTAGATGTAAGCAATCATAAGCAACCGTACGGCCTTCAACCATGTGAAAAACCAATACCGTATGGTCGGCTATAAAAGACATCGAGATAAAAAAATATGTAACAATTCAAATGAGAACACTAAAGGCCTAATTTATAACGAAACAATATACGAAAAACAAATATGACAGACATGAACCAACGACATTTGAATCTAAAGACTGTTAACGAATAGATTCCTAGCGTGATCATATATGCTACATATTCGTAGAAACTCCTGCTCGTCGTGTTACTTCTCTAATATACGTTGATAAGATATATCAAGTGAATAAGCATCACACAATAGCGGATTGATATTTAGCTTTTATCTAACCATAGAGATTTCCAATAAAATGACATTACTCGACAAAACAAACCTATCTGACCGTATCTGGGCCTGTTGCAGTGAAGGACGACGAAGGGAAGCATATACTGCATGAATGTTTGGCTCGTTGAATACGCATACTTTGTTGGAATATATGTTATTTGAAAATAAGCACAAACTGCTATTTTAATTCTTCACATATTTTGTTATTACACATTGGATGATTTCATTGACAACAACCTTAAAGGGAATAATTAGTTCAGTTACCGGTAATCAAATACACCGATCATTACTCCGTCATTTCACTTGACTCATATATTTATCTGTCAAACGATGAATTCTAAAAGCTCATAAATCAAAATTAAGTTTGAACAAATAAAAATAATTGAATCTGAAGCGTGATCACATTCTCATTTTTAAGTTATAAGACAAAGAACAAGAGTTTCAAACACGCCGGAATGTAAAAGGTGTACACGGCTTGCCTCTTCTACATTTTTAGAATACTTCTATAATTTATTTCAAGTTACTTTTGTCGAAGGTAAAAATTCAGATCACTGATGCATCTTTCTGATAGTACTGTGTCACCTTTCCGTAGAATTTTATCAAATGGAACTCATTAGGACGCATCTGTAGGAAAAAACATGATTACATTATACTGAATCAGTTAATTTGTTTATATCTTGTCTTTAATTATTGTGATGCATGGATTCTACAAATGTAGGCGTAATTTAACGTCAATGTTCTTAAAAAAAATTCTGAAATATATGGCGTTTACTTATACAAATACGTATGAAAAGCGGACATGTACGGACTATTTAATTGATTTTTTATTTAGTAAGATGATCGTTCAAGTTTTATGACCAACTTATTTATGATAGCATGAGAATATTATATTTACTGATCTGTGCATCCTTCCGTTCTGTTCAAAATATAAAACCTTTAGAATTATAAACCAACTGTGAGTTTGACCCAGATTAAGTGGTGCACTTAACATCTTCTTATATCTACTAACTATTGGTCTTGTTTCGATCGGCAGTTAAACCATTGCCAAAGTGGGGAGTTCGTTTAGATGTGCGGGATGTACAAGTACGCAGTCCCGTCCGTTCAGAGTGGGAACGTTAAATCCGATGCCTCTTTTAGATATAATGTCACGCTCGTTAATTATGCATGAAATATTTGTCACTGGGCGTTAAGCAACCAACTGTCAATCAATCGACAGTAGCATAACTTGAATTATATTTCTAGTGAGGGAAATTATCTGAATCTTGGCAGTTAAAGCCTAACCTTGGTTTTAAGACTTAAATTCCAGTAGGGAGTGGACGATTAATTGAAAATATGAATCGCAAAATAGGTGTAGGTGATCATACTCTTGATAGGTCACACAATGGCAAAAAGATACTGTCTATGAAAAATCCAGATTTTTGAAATTCTATCATGAAATAATATTTCTAGTGCGCATTCAATCAATATATTTCAATGAATTTTCTGGTTAAAGGCTTAATTCTCAGTATTCAGTTAGCTATTATAATTCAGATAGGTCTGATCAAAACAAAACAAAAATGACAGAATTATATGTATGACCTCCTCTAAAATGCTTTTGTACAGATTTGGGGATACTAAGTTTAATATCCACTTTGTCTCTTAACTTTATTCATTTAGCTTTTGTCAACATGTATGTATGATAATACATGGGAGAACTATTAAATCTTGCTAATATTAAACAAGGTAGAAGAGTACTACATAAATTATAGGAATTCCAAGTGTCTGTTGAAAACTTTGCCCACCTAAGTAATAAGTTCGTTGTTTGGATCAGTTTTTGGCGAGTTATACTTTGTCTGTTACTTAAAACAGATATTTATATCTACCTTGTTCATTTAAGGATGCATCCTGGATCCGCATCTAGCAACGAAATCTTATTATATTATGAAGTTCAATGTTACTTACCTTACACATTTCCGTTAATGATTTACTCATTAAAATGAATTCGGTGACCCCCTTTTAGTTGTTGATCAATACAATGGATAGAATATTCGAAGTTGATTCACTTCAAGGAATATCAAATATATTCCCTGGAAATATCTTTTGTATTTGGACTCCGATAGCGTTCCCGTTAAACTAATTAATACAGTAAAAATCCTTAATCGAACACACCTTAATTCTTAAAAAAAATTATAGGGATTTCTTGTTCAATACATTTTATAATAAATGAAAAATACTTTTGTTTATAAATTAAATGGAAGCAATAGTTTTATCTGAATTTTCAACCTTTATAAAGAGACAGATTCTGACAAATTCTGCTTTCGATATTTCTGAAATTGCCAGAAACATATCCTTCTAAATATTATCCCCTGCAACAAATATAATAAAAAGATAGATACACTATAGAGAAAGACAGAAAAAAGTAAAATGGGGCGTTCATCTGCAAAGTATATTGAAAAATAATTGTCATAATCAAAACCATGAAAAATAACCCGAAAGGTACGTATGATAGGTATGGGATACTGCGTTAATACGTGATCTTA